ACGCAGTGGCTAGTAATGTAGGCAGCTGAACACTGCCGCCGGTGCACCATCAGGATCGTGCAACACAGTTTGTGGCGCATGCCTTAAGTCGCTTGTCAAGCTACAGCTGTACTCTTACTCTTAAATTCTCAGAAAGCCTGATTGCTGGCGTTTTTTGCAGCAGATGTCAATTTTTACGGACCGGACACCTGCCATCCGGGCCTGTCAAATAGCAGGCAGTTTGTAAACCAACTAATCCATAAATGCTCAGAGCCTGACAGCCAACTGAAAACTGTTGATGTTCACCAGTAAAATGGAACTGGGTTGTTTGATGGCAAGATTGCCTGGTGTGTGGCGCTAGAGTGCGAAGTGGTAGTTGTCGTTATTTTTTTATTGGAAAGGCTATTCTCCATGGACTGGTCAAATGGAGCAGTGGGTTTGTTATCAACGGCACAAAGGCGTCATTGGTAGAAGGAAGAAGCATGTGGACCTAGGTTTCGAAGGCGTTGCATTAAACACTTCTTCCCACCCGTTGATGAACGCTCACCCGACCGCCAACGGAACTCATCTGTCCCGCTCTGCCTTGGGCCTTGACAGAAGCCCTGACAGCCATAGCAGCTGGTAATATAGGCGGATAGTATTGCCAGTCTCCCTTGTCTTTGCTAGTAATTTTATCTGCCTCTACTTCTTCCCAATGTTGCACAACATCAGAATATTAAACAACTTTAATAAACTACATTTTGTCCTTTATGTTGTTAGCTTTTATTATCGAACGTATTTTTAACATCTCTACTTAGCTTAAGACCGGAACGCTCGGGATATTCACGTTTCTCCAAGGCACTCGAATAGATCAGGCGCTAGCATTATTTTCCGCTGACACTGTCATGGAGACAAAACTTTTTGATTCGTACGTTTATTGAGAAGGGTGAGCGTTTCAATTGTCAGCAGTGTGAAAATCTGCCGAGCTGGCATACTTTGTTTGCGCTGTGCCTTCCGTTTATCGCAAGCATTCACCTCCAACACGTGCTCCAGCGATGACTGTACTGAAGATCGAGTCAGTTACATATTCGTAGGCATCCTCAAGTCTAATCACGTGTTCAGCCTGAGTGTCATGCCTATTTTTGGAATGAGAAGTGAGACCAGTCGGGAATGTGTATCGTGGTGGGGGCGCCACCTGCAGGAATCCAACTGTGTGCGCACTCTCAGGGTGTTGGTCACTGCCACAAGAGTCTTCTCTAGTCACTTCGTTGTACTGGTGAAACTGACAGTCGATCTTCCATCGGAAGTGAATGCCCCTACAGCGCATTTAACGACGCAACGCGAAAATCGGCTCGTGTTGCGTAAGTGGGAATTTTCAGCAAGGGAAGCCGTCCTCCTATTCGACTTAGAAGTCTTGCAACTAGCTTCCATCCTTAAAACTATCAAACTCCACCACACACACACACACACACACACACACCTTGCCTCCTATCCCGCGCCAGAATTTTCCCCCCATTGGAGAACGCTCCTCTGCTTGTGACGGCTCAAGCTCTGAGCGCTTTTTTTTCTCAGCCGCAGTGTTTCATTTAAGCTGCCTGACAGTTTCCACGAGCGCTGTGGCGGCTTCCTGCCTATTTTAATTTTTTTGGCACAAAGGTGTGTCGTCCTACCTTTTCTTCCCCAAGGGGAAAACTAGCCAATCAGTGCATCCGTATATCTGTCTTTCAGGAGGTAACTAATTTGTCGGCGGATCTCAAAGAGAAGTCGGCTGCAGCTGCTGCCGCGGATGAGAAGTACAAAAAAATCCGTGACGTCTACGCCAAACTCAGGGAGGAGCATGTGGACACGTTACGCAAGGCGAGTTAACTTCCCCCTATTTCCAGTACACAAACTATGTCGCTCGCAGTCTCTCTATTGAGCAGCAAATCGCTTGTTTCCCCTCTCGAAGAGACTTGCGTGTTGCTCCTAGAGTCTTCTTGCGAAGAGCGGATTTATCTCGAACCTGTAACAGGCGTTTTCAGCTGACTGAATGACAACACAGAGGTGGCATTTTAATGAAGGTTTAAAATAGCCCTCGATAACAGTCTAGTTTCGGGCTCACTACAGCAGGCAAAAACCCCAGCGTTCTGTAAAGTGGACCGGTGGTAATAGGGGTTAAATGAATAGGGCGTACCGGGGGAAAGAAAAAAATATTTTAGAAAGTAGAGCGTATAAAAGTAGAAAATAATATGAACAACTAGTTAAATAACCTTATGCTTGGCAAAAAAAGCGCACGATAATTAAAATGAAAAATGCAACCAATAGGAGCCACGAACTGCGCAAGGAACCAAGCTTAACTAAAATAATTTTAACAAAACTAAATAATAAACTAAAAAACTAATAAAAATAAAATTAACAGTAGAACGCTTAAGGTTTTCTAGTGGGGAGCCCAATGTGGGTGAACAGTGTCGTAAACCTGATAAAAGCCTGCCTACTACTACAAAATAAGCAGGCAGTTATGCGAAGTACGCGTAGTGAGCCCGAAACCCGACTGTCACCCAGCTCTCCTTTGGTCATAAAACCCAGCGCTGCTCTCTATTGCAGGCATTTTATGAGTGAAAGTCGAACATCAGGCACTGGCGTTTCATGTCTTCTCTGGTCAATATGACGTTGCTCCCCGAAACCGTATAGGTTCTCGCGCATTTTCTAGAAAACTCGTCAGGTAGTTTTCCACTCATTTGTAATTCAAAAGTACACCTTATATAACCTGAGTTTAAGTATTTTGGGAGGAGCCTAAATAGCAATATCTCACCAGTAGGTCGCGGTTAGGCAGGCGTGTTTGCTTTTATCCAGCGGTAGCAGGTCCAGGTGAGGATGATATTAGCAAATACAACACTCCCGCTGCAGTCTGTCTTACAAATAAGACGCTGAGTCGTTCACTGTAGGACCAGTATAATCCACTGCCGTCTGCGCTTAACATACCAACGCTTCTTGTTAGACATTGAGCGCTTTTGTCACACGCTGTCTGGGGCAACTCAACCCGCATTTTGGGTCAGAGTTAATGAAAATTGACGAGTTAAAAATTACTGCATTTGTGGACTCCTAGAACCCAAGCTGTCACAGACTTCAAAAAACTGCTCGTAGGCGGATATACATTTCTGAAAAGGCCAAGAGAGACCAGGAGGGCTATGTCTGGCTTATTAGCCATCGTCAGTTAGCTATATCC